ATTTACTAATACCGTTCTCATATGTGTATACTTTTCATTCTCCTTCCCAAACCTGAGTAAAATTTTCAGTTCCCTCCACGAGCTTCTCTCAAACGATTCATTGTCCCTCCCAAAATACGAGCTTCACCGTAAGATTCTCTCAAACGTACGAGCTTCTCCTTAACCCTAACATTCATCCCAAATTGATTCTTCATCGTACGAGCTTCTCCCAAACCCTAACATTTTGTTCTTCATCCCATATTGATTCTTCATGGTTCGATTCTCTCAAACCCTAACATTTATCCCAAACTTGTGTGTGTGTAAATGTTCTCCTTCAACTTTCTCTATTTTCTGCCGACAAATCTAACGGTTTTGTTTTCATAGGTCTCAATTTTCAAACGTAATAGTGCGCGAGTTTTCAGCGGTGTGCGCGTTTTCGATTCATCCTGGTAAAAAGGTAATAATTTGATTATAATTTGTAGCCCTGTGTTATTTTGGTGGGTCATTGAGTTAGAGATAGTTAATTAACTCAAATTGCTTTATATGGTATTGGATTAGTTGTGTGTGTGTCGTGCTTGTTCTGCTTCTTTTCACTGTAATTTATGTCTTGTTGTTGTGATGCCTTAATGTTTGTATGTTTTGTGATCCTTTTCTATGACTCTGTGTGTATCTGCTCAATTCGTATACTCTGCCTTCTATGCCTTCTATGACTCTGTGTGTATCTGCTCAATTCATATACTCTGCCTTCTATGTGTGATATATTTGTGATTTTTTCTGCATATGAATTCTGCTTGTGATTTTCAGTGTGAATGTCATGTTGATGTGTGTATATACTCTGCCTATATGCGTGTGAATTTTGTATGAATTTTCAATGAGGCTTTCTAGATGATGTTTGGAGCTGATGTTAGTGACACTTAGTAAGTTAATTGGACTTAGAAATTAGTTGACGTTAGTTTGGATTGTTTGAACTGTTATGTTAATTATTTGGAGATTAGACGTGATTGAAACAATTGTTAGAAATTGGAAAAGAGTTAGGAAAATAGTTAGTGTATTGGTGTGTTAAAGTGAACAGTATGCTTGACTTGCACACCAGTCCAATCAGCCGGTGCCGCTTCTCTGCATCTGGAAACAATATTGCTAGTGCTTCTCTAGATGGAACTGCCAGGTACCCTCTCTCGGAGATGATATAAACTAACATATCGAGCTTATTAATTAAGTGCCAAAATAGATTGGTCTTTATCTAATTATTAGTCCTGAGATTGCTAGCTGTAGTCTGCACTCATTTTCAACTAGCTGTATGAATTTTCTGATTTGCTTTTGGTTATATTTCAGTGAGGCTGATATTTTTCAATTTATTAAGGAAATGAAAGGAATTGTATGTAAAACCACAGCTATAGATTTTCAACCTCTTTTAACTCTTAATTCAACTTGTATAAGTCTCTTGATCTACCCTCTCACCCCAAACATTATAACTGTCTCTGCTTTTGTGCAAATATTAAAATTTAGGACTTTATATGTTGTATCTCTGTTTCACATCTAACAAACCCATGATGCCATAACATGTTTGGTATAATTGTCCCTAGATTCTATGATTTGGTTGTTTCCTACTATGAGTACTTTCAGTACCTTCCTTTTGATGTCAGCACGTTACAATTTGTATACTTAATTTGTGACACTTAATTAAAAAAAAGTGCAACTAACTCATTCAACCAATACAAATATACACTAGAAAATAATGAGATTTCTAGGTCCCTTGTTGATTTCTCTAAAGTCAATCAACCATTCATAATGCCGGAAAGATATTGAAAATTTTATAAGAGCCAATATCATGTGCTAATTGATGTAAATATGGATACCAAAGTAGAGAACAATCTTAATTGATGTTGAGACAGAAACAACACTTAAATCCTTTTTTCTTCTTGAAATATAATGTCATGTTGATGTGTGTACAATTCTATTGAAATATTGTTGAGTATTGTTGAGTACTTTTTGCTCTGTATTGAAAAATAATGTCATGTTGATGTGTTAATTATTGTTGAGTACTACTCACCATTTTCAAAGTGCTGAGATAGGCTTTGATGGCATTTTCTGCAGACCAAGAAGCCATTGTTTTAATTTATGTGAAATTTTTCTTTGATGAATTTGGAAGTTGGAATTAAGGATCTTCAAGCTTTTATGCAAATGTTGTGTGTCTTGACTTTGTTCTGAGATTATTTTGGCTGATTATGTCACAGAACAACTAGAATTCATTGTTCTATCTTAAGTACCGGAGATCCGAAGTATCAGGAGAAGTTCAGACCCTACAGACTGAAGTTACAACTATTTATGCCCATCTGACATTATATCAGGTGTGTATCGACATCCATCTATAAAATTTGTTGGACTATTTTTCTGATATTTCTGAATTTGATGTGAATTCCTAGTTTATGTTACTTGTTGCACTAGACGAGCATGTTCTGTGTTAATAGTAAAGTAGTAGTTATTGGTAGCAGGAACCCTTTGGTAGGCTAGTTTTTATATGACAAAATGAAACAATTTTGACAAATTGAACACTTTGGGTTGCTCTACTGTGTTTCTTTTCTGCTTGTTTTGCTTATACATTTTTTCCATGAATGGTAGTATCCCCGTAAACCCGATGGACAAGGAATGGACAAAGAAAAACCCCGCGAGTAAAGAGTACCAAAATAGTCTTGATTCTTTTCTAGATTATTCATACACCAAAGGAAAACCCCGCGGGAAAGAGATTTTGTATCCTTGTGCTAATTATTACAATAGCAATTGGTTTACAAGGAATGAAGTACGAAATCATTTAATTGCATTTGGATTTCAAAAGGGATATGACGTTTGGGTTCGACATGGCAAGAAGAAACCGAAACTCGGTGATCTTAATGATAATCATATGAATGAAGAAGAGGATCAAATTGACGATATTGATGGACTATTGCATGAAAGATTTAGAGATATTGTACAAGAAGAAAATGATGTAAATGTAAGCCTCAATGAAGATGAAAAAAAGTTCTATAATCTAGTCGAAGAAGCCAAACAAGATTTGTATCCCAGTTGCAAAAAATTCTCTAAATTGTCATTCACCATTCGTCTTTATTTATTGAAATGTCTTTATGGTTGGAGCAATGTATCATTCGATGCTCTATTAGAGTTGTTGAGAGAAGTTATGCCTTCATTAAACATCCCTGATATGTTTAACAAAACTAAAGGCATGATAAGGGACTTAGGGCTAGATTATAAGAAGATCGATGCTTGCCCTAATGATTACATGATATATTGGAAAGATCACGAGAATGATACTTCTTGCCATGTTTGCGGTGCTCCACGATGGAATGAAGATGTCAAAGGAAATGATCATGTTAAAAAAAAATCATAAGTCTCATAAAGTTCCTTCAAAGGTTTTAAGGCACTTTCCGTTGATTCCTAGACTTCAAAGACTGTTTATGTATTCAAAGACAGCTAGCTCATTAAGGTGGCATGATGAAGAGCGTTCAAAAGATGGGAAGTTGAGGCATCCTGCAGACGCAGAAGCATGGAAAGAATTTGATAAATGTCACTCTGAATTTGCTGATGAGCCACGTAATATAAGACTTGGATTGGCCAGCGACGGATTTAATCCATTTAGAACCATGAATTTGTCTTATAGTACTTGGCATGTGGTATTAATACCATATAACTTTCCACCTTGGTGGTGTATGAAGGCTGAGTATTCTATGTTGTCTTTATTAATCCATGTACCACTTTCACCAGGGAATAACATTGATGTATACCTTCAACCATTGATAGAAGAGTTGAAACGGTTATGGGATTTGGGTGTAGAAACATATGATGCATCACTAAGTCAAACTTTCCAAATGTGGGTAGCTCTCTTGTGGACTATTAGTGACTTTCCTGGGTATGCTATGTTGAGCGGGTGGAGTACAAAAGGGAAACTGGCATGTCCTTGTTGTAACTATAACACTAATTCAATATATTTGAATTATAGTAAAAAGGTGTGTTATATGGATCATCGTGTTTTTCTGCCTGAGGATCATAAATATAGGTCAAATGCTAGGAATTTCAATGGGAGCATAGAAGATAGGCCACTGCCGGAGTTGTTAACTTGGGAAGAAATCTCAAACAAACTAAAGTATGTCAACAATTCTTTTGGGAGGTTGCAAAAGAAAAGTAATAATAGTCCATGGAAGAAAAAATCAATATTTTTTGAGTTACCATATTGGAAGCATAATAATTTACGCCACAACCTTGATGTGATGCATATAGAGAAAAACATTTTTGATAGTATAATTGGGACTTTGTTGGATATCCTAGGAAAGACAAAAGATCATAAAAACGCATGTTTAGACTTGAAAGAGATGGGTATTAGAAAGAAACTTCACCCAAATGAGGTAGATCAAGGAAAAAAAGTCAGTGTTTGTAAAAGCATGTTTTTCCATGACTACAAAGGAGAAAACTACTTTTTGCTCTGTATTGAAAAATGCAAAAAATACCTGATGGTTGTGCTTCAAACATTTCAAGATGTGTTCAACTTGCTGGAAAAAAAAAGTTAGTGGATACAAGAGCCACGATGCACATTTCATGTTGCATTACTTGCTTCAAGTGGCTGTGAGATGTACAATGCCAAACCAGGTTGCACATCCATTAATCCGTCTTTGTTCATTTTTTCGTTGTTTGTGTCAGAAGGTGATTGAGGTGGCAGATTTGGATATCTTACAATCTGAGATTGCAGAAACACTTTGCCAACTCGAGACAATTCCCCCCCCCCCCCCCCCCCCCCGAGTTTCTTTGATATAATGGTTCATTTGCCAATACATCTAGTGAATGAGGTAAGAATGGGAGGACCTGTTCAATTTTGGTGGATGTACTTTCTAGAAAGATATCTAGGAAAATTGAAAAGTTATGTTCGTAATAAAAGTCGTCCTGAGGGTTCTATTGCTGAGGGTTATTTGGTTGAAGAATGCTTGACATTTTGCTCTCGGTATTTGCATAGTGGTGTTGAAACAAGATTCACTAGAATGACAAGAAATAGCGATAGATTTGATCCTCATGAACATGAAAGTCCAAGCTCTTGTCTTAATGTTGGTCATCCTATTGGAGGAAAGAGAAAGGGTGAAGCAATTTCGTTGGATTGCAAGTCAAGGAGTTTAGCCCATCGTTACATCTTATTCAATCATGAAGATGTCCAAAAATTTATAAGGTAAATGAATATACTTGTAGGTTCCAATTTCGTAAAAAGATTTGTTTTACAATAACTTTAACAGTATAATTTTAATTGTAGTGAGCATGAAAATTCAAATTCCAACAAGAGAAAGGGGTGGAGCAAGGTAAAGAGTCAAGGCTTAGATTTTGTTGAATGTTTTAAGAAGCGTGCATTGTTAAGTGATATATCAGGAAACCTTAGGACGCTATCCAGAGGACCAAATAAAATTGCACGAAGTTTTTCTGGCTATGTAATTAATGGATATAGGTTTCATACAAAAGGACGTGATGCTAGACGTAATACACAAAACAGTGGTGTGACACTAGCGGCAATAACTGAAAGTTATTCAAGTACCAAAGATGAAAATCCAATAACACAATTAATAACATACTATGGATTAATTACAGAAATAATTGAGGTAGACTACTATGGTAAGTTGAATTTTGTGTTATTTAGATGTGATTGGTTTGAAGTTGAAGAGGAAAAATATGGGATGACTTGTGTTTACTTCAACAAGAGGTGTTATGTGGATGATCCTTTTATCTTGGCTTCTCAAGTCCACTAATGCTTCTACATTTAAGATCCTTTTGATGCAAATAAACACTATGTTATGAAGTCTATTCCGAGGGATTTTTTTAACATGAATGAACAATCAAACTCAAATCCCCATCAACCGTATACTTCTGATCTATCAGATCATGTAGTGAATCTAGCTTCGAGTGATGAAATTTGTGAAGTTGAATTTGTTAGGAATGACATTCCATCCACAATTGTTGATAATTTTGTACCTGCGCCAAATGTAATAGAATCTGATGACGATTCAAATTTATGACAATTTTTTGTGTATGTTAACTTCATCACTATTTGAGAACAAGAAAGTTGTTTCCAGATCTTTTGTTACTATTAAACATTGGAATTGAATTTTTCTTCATTCCATCACTGTTATTGTTCAGTTTTAGTCCTGATAGTATCACTGTTATTGTTCTGATGCAGTGATATTATTTTTACTATTGTTAGTCCTGATACTATTGTTAGTGGCTCTGATGCATAACAACTACTATTGTTAGTGGCTCTGATGCAGTGATAGTCTTGATACTATTGTTCGTGGCTCTGATGCATAACATATACTATTGTTAGTGGCTCTGATGCATAACAAATACTATTGTTAGTGGCTCTGATGCAGTGATACTATTGCATGTCCTACACTATGAATTTATAATGTCATGTATGAATTTATAATGTCATGTATGAATTTATTCTCTTGTATTTTCAATGATATATTATGAACGGTTATGTTTGTTTGTCAAGTTCGTTGAGAAGCATAACTTCAATGGCATGATGTGAATAATGATGATCCAGTTATTGTTAATTCATTGAAATATGTTCTAGATGTTTCTGTTTTCCTAATTAACTTAATGAAAATATTTAAATGCTTGTAATTTTCATTTTCATTTCTTAGCATTTGTAAATTCTAGGTAATTCCAATCACCTCCTTAAGATCTAAGGTGATAGTGTGGGACTGTAGGAAATGGAAATGTTCAGTATCTTTTATGTATCACTATATTTACTAAAAGCACTAATTAGCAGCGACAGTAATTCCAATCACCTCTTTAATATCATCATTGTACAGATCTTGTATGCTTTTGGTAAGAAATTATGCCCTCTGCTTCTCCATGTAATTGTTTTTACTTTCTGTTGCAGGAAAATGACGAACCGGGACAATTTTGTGTTTGATTTCCAAGCTAAGTCTAGCACGGATTTAAAGAGGAAGATGAAAATCAAGGTTGAAAATGAAAATACTTTAAAAGACAACCCAACAAATCAAGGAAGAAGAAATCCTATAAACACCAATGTTGGAAACATTCAAAAGATGGACCATCGAAAGAAATTGAAAGTAGAATCTCTAAGAAAATGGTTGAGCCAAGAAAAGTGTTTGTACCGAACAGTAACATTAGAAGCCAATCGGAAGTAGAAATTTCTAATAAAGTTGCCCAGCCGAGCAAAGTGCGTGTTCTCAATAGTAATAAGAGGCAAATGGAAGTAGAGGCCACAAATGAAATTACTGAGCCAAGAAAAGTGCTTGCTCTGAATAATAATACTAAAAAGAAATTGAAGTCAACAGTGGATCATCAAGTTAAAGGTTCAATAGAATCTCAAGTCTCAAAGAACACCAGTGATCAAACCAAAAAGGTAATTTATAGTACTTTCTAATTCTAATAATGGGGACAACCTCTTATAGTAATGTATTGATTTCTTAAATGAATTTTTAATTATTATTGGTTGATATGAAGCTAATTATTCTTTTACATTCAGATTTTGCAAAGCCTTGACAATACTATGAACAAGTCTCAACAATCCTTTGAGAAGAAAAAAAGTCTTCTAAAATGTCCAACCATTCCCTTTACCGAATGTCTCGATAAAAATAAGGAAAAAAATGGAGTAGAGGAATTCGACGATGAAGATACAGAAGAAAATGAAATGGAAGAATATATGGAGAATGATAGCATCCATAATGGTAAGGAAGTTGAGGGAACAGATGTAAAAAAAAAAGCTGAAGGTAATACCTTAGGTGCTTCATCCTCAGGATTAACAAAAAAACGGGGAAAGACATTATGTCGAAAAATTCATGGACGAAAATTCAAAGATAGACAAGAGATCACCTTGAATGAAGAAGGACAACCAATTGGGCCAGATGAAAAGGCAGTGTCTGAACTCAGTAGTTTTTTGGGGACACTAGGAAGAAGTTAAGATTTATGTCCTCTCACTTTCACTAGTTGGATTGATTTGGTTAAGCATTGGGAGGAACACAATTTGGATCCCGTGTGGGATTATGTCAATGTAATTAGTTTTTTATTTGATTTTGTGTTTTTTTAACATACTTTAATGTATATAATATTCTAAATATATTTTTTTGCAGGAAAAATACAATATCCCAAAGGAAGGAAAGAAGGTTATATTTGCTATTACAAATGATGCTTGGAGACGATACAAATGCTCGCTTAAAAAGAAGCATTTTAGTAAGTATAAAACCTTGCGCGAGCAGCTAAAAAATCGTCCACAAGAGGTACCAGAAGAATATTTTAGAAACTTATTCGAGTATTAGAGAGATGACAAAACTCTAGTAAGTCTACATATGTGCAGTAATGTGTCGCTACTGCGAAAATAAGGTGCCGGAAAAACAGAAGAGTCGCCACCTTTCGTTATTTATCCCACAAAACGGAAAAGGAAACGATCGGAAAAACCTGACGAAAAGGTATAAGATAAGGTCATCGCAACCATGTCTAGGTTCGGGAGTCGGTTACGCAAGGGGAAGGTATTAGCACCCCTCACGTCTATCGTACTCGATGGGATCCACGCTTGTTGTAACACCCATTTTAATTATCTAGTCATTTTATTATTATTTTAAATATTATATGTTGGTGTGCCCTTTGGTGGGGGTGTATTTGATGATGTTTGGTGGGTGTCCCTAATGTGGAAGGACTATTGATGGTATTTTGGTGTGGAATATAATAATATAAAAATAATAGTAACATTGGTGGGGGTGTTATTATTATTATTATTATTATATTTATTATATTTGTTAATATTATTAATATTATTATTAATTTGGTGAAATAATAATATTAGTATTATTATTATTATTATTATTATTATTATTATTATTAATAAGTGTTATTATTTATATTAGTAATATTATATTAGTATTACTATTAAGATTATTATTATTATATTATTTTATTAAGTTATTATTATTATTGAGATTAGAATAGTTAAAAGAAAAGAGGAATGTGAAGGGTGGGGAGTTTCACGATACATTTGAGAATTGGGAGAAAGAACGATAGAACGAGAGAAGTGAGAAGAGCATAGAACGAGCAAAAGGAACGAGGAGCGGAAGAGAAAGGAGAAAGCCAAGAGACCAAATTCAGGAGGATTTTCATCGATCAACCGATTAATAAGGTAAGGGGGGAGAAACTTGATTGGGAATGGTTTATACATGTATGGGGTAGTTGGGGATTCCTTAACCCCGTAGGAAATTGATCGATATATGATAATATATATTGATATGTTATGATTGATGATGATTGTTGTTAATTATATAGTAATCGTTAATGAATTGTTGTTTTTGGTTGATTTGACATATAGGGCATATAGGGTGTTTTACGGTTTTTAGGGAAAGTTCTGTATGGCTTTTGAGGTATCGATAAAGTGTTTAGGTGATGATTTTGGGAATAGGAATTAGAAACCGATTGGTTACAGTAATGTGCAAGATTGGTACTAGAATAGGCTGAGGATCTGAGTTGAGATGATAGGTACAATTTGGCCTAGAATACACTGCAGAACTGTGAGAAAACTTGGTGAATCGCAGCATTCGCTGGGCTTCGCCTGGCGAATGTTGGCGAAGCTTCGCCTGGCAAAGGGAAGCGAGAGTTCGCCTGGCGAGCTGGGGCGAAGAGGCAGCGAATAATTCAGAAATTAAGTCCCAGACTAAAAACACAAGAACTTCGCCTGGCGAATGCCAGCGAACGTAGTAGAACCAAATGAATTTTTGTGATGTTTTGGATTCGAGCGTTGGTCTCGTGTGATCCTTTTAGCTTTGTTGCAGTGTGAAAATGATGAGTGTGGGATTTAACTTGTGTACTTGGTGATGGCACGCGTTTCCCTTAATATTGTTGGTGAGCAATTAGTTGATGTATATGTGTGTAGTGATCAGTAGGATCGAGTATCCCCGAGTGGTGGGATGTAGTTATATCTGGTGTTATAGTATGAATTTGTTTACCATCTGATTGATTTATATGGTGTTGGTGTAATATATCTATACATATGCATTGATGTATGATGATATGATCAGGAGGATCGTGTGCACTTAGTGTGCCAAAATGTAATAATTATGCATTGGTGTCTTGCATATCATGGTGTTTGGTGGGATGAATCATGTCTCAGGAGGAGCGTAAGTGATTCATCCGTACTCCTTTGTGGAGAATGGTGGGGGATAGATCATGTCTCAGGAGGAGCGTAAGTGATCTATCCAGGTTCGATTGAATGAACCAATGAGTCGGTACCGCATGCATGGTGTTGTGTTGCATAATTGCATTATAATATGTTATATTGTAATTTGAACAGTAGGTTCGTTGTATGGTATTGTTGGGGTGAATAATTGACGTGTTGGTGTGTTTTACTGCCTTATTTACATGTATTACATTACCATTATATTTTTGATCATGATTTCTCACCCCTTTGTTGTTGTTGTGGTCTGTGCTTCTTCGGAAGTACAGATAATCCAGGTACTTAGCTAGCTTGGATTATGGTGTGACAGTCGAGTCTAGGATGCTCTGATACGTAGCACGGACTTGGGCGTTTTTTTATTTATTTTATGAAGAACTTATATTTTATTTTCCTGTGAAACGTATCAAACCTTTATTGGATTTTATTATTTAATATTCCGCTGTATTGGAGAAAACCCTTTTTATAAGGAAACGTTGTTTTCATGTGATATCCCACTTGGGAAATTGGAACTCTGATTTTGTTTATTTATAATGTTTATTAATTTAATTGATTAAGGGAAGTGGGGTGTTACAATTGGTATCAGAGCAGGTCGGTCCGTCCGGCCAGTGTTGTTGAGTCGAGTTGAGTCTGTCCTTTGGGGTGGAGTTTGTCGCTTGCGCGAAAATAAGGTGCCGGCATGACAGAAGAGTCGCCACCTTTCGTTATTTATCCCTCAGAGCGGGAAAGGAAACAATCGGAAAAACCTGACGAAAAAGGGTAAGACAAGGTCGTCGCAACCATTGTCTGGGTTCGGGAGTCGGTTACACAAGGGGAAGGTATTAGCACCCC